CAGCACTCCACCGCATGAGTGCTCGTCGCCTGACAACAGCAAGAGCTTCTCAGAGTCTGAGAAGAGGCCTCTGAACTTAAGAGAGAGCCACGTAGAGATTTCTCCCACATGCCCACGGCCACGAGTCAGACTGGGCTCCGAGATTAAAGACTCAATAGTGTGAGGCCGGCTTCATGTTGTGTGGAGTTTTAAACTGAAAGCAATGAGTGCACTTGCTGAGAGAGACAAACCCCTGTAAGGGGGAAAACTGAGGATCATCAGACTCTTCATGGAGAGACATTTCATTACACAGATTTTGCACTTTTTTTTATTCTGTCCCTGTGGTCCATGTTCATTTCATTTTGTTTCCCCTTCACTCCCCCTTTATTCAAGTGCATTTGGTGCACGCTGAAGAAGTTCCAGTTTGCCTTCAGACTTTTGATGCTTTCACGTACGGCTCACAGGAATGTAACAAACGTAGAGGTGGTGTCACAACTTTGATTCAGTGATTGAATCTCAGGCCCTGTTTACACCTGGTATTAACATGTGTCCTGGGTGATTGAAACACAAGCGGACAGCTCTAAGTACAGCTGTGAATGTATCACAGGCGTCCTCAATGCATATTGAGATTTGATCGCTCAGACCATATTCTGAGTTGGTCTGATCCACATGTGGCCATATTCTTTCAGCAGTGTATAAGCTAATGTTGCCTAGAACACATTAGACTGCCTGCTCGGATGACATCCTCGCTTATCTGACACCCCACCAGATATCAAACTTTTGTTGGTGCAGTTGCACAAATGCAGAACTAAAGGACCGTCCCTGATGCCACTCTGCTCCAGACGAACAGCCAGTTCAACATCTGTCCGGTTAGCATGTACTAATACAGCAGCAGCAGCTGTTAAACAGTCCCAAAAAACGTACACTGACAGTGAAACAGCTAAATTCTGTCGCCAAACTTGTTAATAATTGTTAGATAACATTAGCCATGTGATGCTAACAGTTAGCCCTGTCTCTGGCTGCATGGCTGTGTGGACTCCTACTTACTGTCCCCAGCATGGAGCTCACACTACTGCAACAGTAGTCTCATGATAAACACAGAAAGAGAGTAAGGACTGGCTGCAAATCAATCATAGACTATAAAAATAATGGACCTAGCTACCATGACATAATCCACTGGCATGTGGACTCTTATTTTGAAGCCTCAAATTTGGCATTTTGACTGACGCCATCTTGGTTTGGAGCCAGTAGTGACCATATTTGGGCAAGAGGCGGGTGCTGTAGAGGAGCGAGGGGTAGATCTGACTGAGAACTCGAGGACACTTTTGACAGACAGCCTGTCATTTAAAGCAACACACCCTTAATTATGTGTAAATTTTAGCCTTAATGAAATGTTAACAGATAAGTTATATAGAAATTAACCCCTGTACAGTTACCATAAATGGGAAAATTAGAGACTAAAACCATATTTGTACCAGGCTGTAAACACATTTATTTCTGCTGTTAAGTTGGGCATGTTAACATGGAGCTCTATGGGGACTGACTGGCTTCTAGAGCCAGTCTCAAGTGGCCGTTAAAAGAACTGCAGTTTATAGCACTTCCGTATTGGCTTCATTTTTCAACCCTCACACTTAAAATCAGTGCTCGCCAGTGCGCACGGCCCAATTAAATAAGATTTTACGCATTTTAAACGTTAAAGGCTTTAAGTGTGTGTAAAGCACACTGCCGGATAAAAACAGTGACGCATTTGGTCTTTGCAGATGGATATGATTTGCAAGTTTATTTGCAATTGGAGCAGGGAAGTGAGATCTGATCACAAGTGGTCATTTGAGACACATGTGGAGACACATTCTAACACCACGTGTGAACAGAAAGACATAGTGCTGTCTACTTGTGATCAGGTCACCCAAGACGAATGAAAATATCAGGTGTAAACAGGCTCTCAAAGCATTACCACTCAGTCCGTCCATATAATATACTGGTAATGCTCTGAAAGGCGCAGTGATATTCAAACATGTTCCCACTAACTGCTTACAGTGTTTGCTGTCTTATTTTCATTCTATCATCTGGTAAGAGCCTACCCTTCGCTGAGGCTATGCACTATGTACTGTACTGTAGCAAGGTAAACCCTCACACCACAATACACACTTAGAATCCAGTGGCAGGCGAGACAGGACGAAAAAAGTCCTGTCATAGATTTTTTTTTTTTTTTAGATAGCCAGTGGGCATTCACAGAAGTATACTCATTGTTTAGGCTTGAATATAACAGCGACGTGGACAGAATTAAGAGACGAAGAGTTGTGCTAAGAGACTGAAAAGGTTGATCAAAATTTATGAAGTGGAAGAAAACACAAACAAGGAATCACCTCAGTGGAAATGTTGTAGAAACTCTTACCACCTCAGTCACTACACACCAAAAACATGAATATTGTAGAGTGAGAAATGAAAACACGTTTTTAAGTATTGGTATTATTAGTGAAACCTGACTTTCAACAGGGTTTTCTTTCACCAAATGTGATAAAGGGGGAAAAAAAAGTCTCATTCCAGGTATTATCATGCTGTTCTTCATGAGATAGGCAGTCTATGCAAAGCAAATAATGTGAAGTGGGGTAAACACCGAGAAAAACCTCACCTCAAGACTGAGTAAGCACAAAGGTGTTGGCGCTGTTAATTACTTTAGGATCAGTGGCACTGCAAACACACACACACACACACACACCCACGCACACTCACTCTCATTACACCAACTAAGTATGCAAGAGATTTTAGCCATTTTGGTGTATTTTAGTGCGGCCGAATGTTTCTGTTACAGAGACATCTTTCATAGTCTTTAATGTTATAAATATCTATCACTATTCTCGAAGTGAAATAATAATAAATATTTAAATACTACACCTATTCATAATCCGATTTAAATAACACACATCTGTATAGCCTCAACTTTGATATACATATTAATTGATGAGTGTTGATGAGTAGAAGAAAACGCCCTCTGCTTGCTTAAGTGGTTTTAAAGGCAACCATAAAAGCAATAATTTCCATTCTTATCCAGATTGTGTTCCTCATTCAGAAATAATGAATTATGAACCATGCGATCCACCAGATTTGTGAGTCAGATGTTGGAGTAACTTGAAAGCATTTTTTATATGATATTATTTAAGTCTTACTTGAGTTTGGCTCTAGTATTGTAATGAGGCCAGCAAAAATAAGAATCCACTAAAACGCAGGAAGGCGTACTGTTTGACTCAGAATGCATAGGATTTGCACATGATGTTGAAAAGCCTTAGTATAATGCAGGTTATGGATTTGATGACAAATCTGAAACGGATAATGCCTTCTGAAAATAATAATCAAGAGATGTGCCTCTTGGGATAATAAACTAACCAGGTAGTAGTGCTGTAGAGTGAAATGCGACACTGTAGGTGTGACAGGACTGGCCATGCTCAGAGACAAGAGTGAAAACGTGTGATGTAATACTGTCAGCGTTGTACAGTATGTGCTCATGAGGTGTCTTTTTTAATTTAATTACTTTGTCACGGTGGCTTCAACCTTAGTCAGGGACTAAATTTTATTCTGAAAACTGTAGCACATGAATAACCACTGGCTGATTTTAAAGTACTGAACTATAGATAAGCATTAGTATTATGTTACATTTCTTGTAAATGGCACTGCAAAAATGACTCTGTGTGAATTTAAAAGACTGGTCGGCTATAATCAATCATGCAGTATGAACGATTCATGCTTTGACTGTTACTAAAAACAAACTAACGGCAGCTTTTGGTGAAGTGGCTGTCATCAGAACAATATTAAAATTGCAGAACAAATATAAAAGTGGCAGTTAATTAGTAAAACACATGCAGGTACTGAACATGCTTCTCTTTGAGTACAAGCCTAAACTATTAATGCCACAGTGAAAGTATCGTCGTCTGCTCTCTCTTAACGAACCACTATAGTCTGGCCTTCTATTTGTGACAGTACAAGTTGCTCAGACTCTTGTCGACATGTAAGTAAAAAAAAGAAGGAAAAAAAAAGAGTTTTTATGTAAAATTGTTTTGTAAATTCAGCTGCCAATGTAAAAATATTGTGAATTGTATTTTTTTGTATCATACATCACTACTGTTTGTTTTTTTTTCTTTTTTGTATTGTATATAAAAAGCACTTTATTTTAATTTTTCAAATAAAGATCAAATGGATAATTTTTTTTTATTTGAATGACTCGTGATTTTAGAAAGTAAAACAGTTCCCCTCATTATTTATTAAATGTTCACACTGATAAACTTTATTGTTTCCTGTAAATACACACTCATTCTGACTTTGGATCCTGCAACATGCTCCAAAAAAGTTGGGACAGGGGCACATTTACCTCCATGTTACATCACCTTTTCTTTTGACAGCACTCAGTAAGTGTTTTGAAAGTGAAATTTCTTCCTTAACATTGACTCAAAGGGCCCCCAAAATCTTCAAAATTTAAAGATTGTGTGGAAGAATGGGCCAAAATCCTGTCTGAGCACTGTGAGGGATTAGTTTCTCAATACAGGAAGTGTCTTGAAGCTGGCACTGCAAACAAAGGCTTCTCTAAGTATTGAATTTCAGGTAGTGGGTTAAATATTTCTCCCTGTGTCTTTCCTCTTCATGGATTGAAATGTTAAAACGTCTTTATCGGTGTAGTTTTATTGAGTTAATACAAGTGTCTGGTTTAAATTTCATGTGAATAGCTCCATTGGAATTTATATTTATATGCACTTTTTACACAGCGTCCCATTTTCTACATATATAGCCATAATGTTCATTTTTAAAATACTTTTAATTGTATTTCTTGCCTTTTTAATCTCACAGGGTGGAGTCAGAAACACATACTACAAACCCAGGGGAACAAAAAGGAGTGTCTGATAAACTCTCATGCACCACACACCTTAAAGGTAAACAGAGGTAAGCACTTGCGTATCTGTTGTGTTTCTATTGTATCACAGCTCCACAGCACACAGGGATGACATCTAACTCAGGATGAAGCCACACACTGGCACTGGCACTGGAAGTGGCACACTGGGTCCATTGATTCGGATGATACCCGCCTACAGTGAGACCTGGACCAATGGGTGTCTGTGTGGTACCTGTGTGAGGCTCCATTGAGACTTTACTAGAGGCTTTTACTGTGGTTGGCACTGAGCCGAGGACACTTGGTGGGACAGAGGAGTCGGGTTGACTTTTAACATCACATTTGAAATACGTTGTGTGTGTGTTTTTACTCATCAAACATGGACCGACCGAGCCTCCGTAGACTGTTTTCTGCCTGTGATGTGAACAAATCGGGTAAAATCGAGTTCGAGGACTTCACCGCTGTCTGTCGCGAGCTCAACGTCCCCGAGACTCACATCAGAACTCTCTTCGACAAGTTCGACGCGGACGAGGACGGGTACATCGACTACAGCCGGTTTTCGTCCCGGTTTCAGGAGGTCTCAGAGACTTTGGACTTGGCGGCTCTTGGAGCTGGGTCGTCCCCAAACCAGGGCTCACCATGGGAGGACTTTGTAGGCAGGACAGATGCGGCGGCTCTCCTCTCAGACAGGTAAACTCACATCCGGTACCGCTGTGCGTTAACCGGTGTTAGCTAGCTAACGGCTACTCATGTCAGTTGGACGCTAGCTAACGTCAGCGGCTGCACTGTGAACCTGTTGGTAGTTTTAGCCTAATTTAATTAACTCATTTTATTTCATTAACATTTAATTAACTTAAACATAGATGTAGTAGATACTTTTCAACCGTTTAGTCTTAATAACTCAGCCACACACAAAAGATAAACGTCAAAGTTTAATATAGATTTAACGGCTCTAACGCCGCACACATTAGTCACACAGGTGTAACGTTAAATGACGAGCTAACGTTAACGGTGCTAGTTTAATAACACTAATCCACTTTTATGTTAATAAATAACATAGACAGTCTTTTCCTTATTATCATTGACACTTTAACACAATGGCCTGTGTTCATATATGAGAAACAAACTTAAAAACTTAACGTTACGTATATGTAGCTGTCACCTCAGTGTATGTCACTGTATGTCATTTTAGTTCATGGGCCACATAGACCCAACTTTAATCTCAGAAGGTCCAGACCAATAAAACCAATAACCTATAGGTAATTTCACTTACAATATTTTCTCTTGTTTTGTGCAAATAATTACAAGAACATTCTGGAGAGTTCATCCTTTACAAAACAGTACATGTCAGTCAGTACATGTTCATTTATTTATACATGTCCTGATACAGCTTCTTTTGAACTGAAGCTGCTGTCTGACAATGATTTACACAATGTTCAGTATCTTAAATCATGGTCACAATCAATCAGAGGACTGTATTCTGCTCAGGGTGGAAAAGCCTCTGAAGCTGAATTTAACATGAAGTAGGCAACACGTTGTTTAATTTGCTCCCAACACTTGGCACCTTTTAGTTTAGTCATCCAGTGGGCCAGATTGGACCCTTTAGCAGCCTGGTTCTGGCCCACAGTCAGTGTGTGTCTATGTTAAGTGGGTATTTTATTTTCCAAAGTTATGGAGGAGAGAAAACTCCAGAGAAAAAACCATAATTAACTGCTGTTGATCAAACAGATTAAGAAAGGGAAAACTTACTATAATTAACCAGAATTTAACCAGTACATATGGCAGTTTATTAATAACAAGGGCAACATTAATAGTTGGCAACTCAACATCTTATGGATCTGCTAGTTGAACATTTGAGACAGAGATTTGTGAAAGCTGTTTTCCAATTGTTTTGTCAAATCCTACATGAGAATGAGAGTCTGTGTTAATATTTATTTTGCTGCCTGGCTGTTCAGGTGATATACTATGTATTCACAGTTATGTCTGTGAAATGATTAATGAGCTTTATTCACATCCACCTGTTGCTGAGTCAGATGGTATGATGCTAATAATAATCCTGTGTGGGATTTAACACAACGCCATGTTATTTGTTTTGTAAAATATTATCAAAGTTTAAGTTAAAAGATGCTGACTGTTGACTATAAACATTTAAGATTTAGAAAATGAATACCCAACCAGAGTTAAACCAGTATTGGCTCTTATGGAAGTGTATTAATAACAGGGGTATGTTGTTGATAACAAAACACAATTTTAAGTTGTTATAGACCTCCAAGTTGAAAATTTGAGACAGACAGAGATTTGTAAAAGCTGTCTCTTCAGTTGTTTTGACAGATCCTACAAGAGAATGAATGTCTGTGCTAATATTTATTTTGCTCCCTGGCTGTTCAGGTGATACACTATGTATTCACAGTTATGTCTGAGTGAAATGATTTATGATCTTTATGCACATCCACCTGTTGCTGAGCCAAATGATATGATGCTAATGATGGTGTGGGATTAACACAATGGTATATTATTTGTTTAGTTAAATGTTCCTGTCAAAGTTATACATTTTGCTAAAAATAGCCAAAGGACATTGTCTCCATTTGTTCGATCTAATCTTAATCTTTTAGTGACAGTAGCCTAGATGTTATGGTAGAATCTGAGTGTTTCAAACACACTGAGTGTAGAGATTGAGAGTGGATCATGCTACATGATTGGCATGAAAAGTTTAATGTTTCGATCATTGTTCCACTTTGAAACTACCAGCTTTAACAGCCACCTTTCAGGCCCACGAGGCTGAGTATTTGACGCCAGAGGGATATATTTTGGGCGGAGTATGACACTGAAAAATGTCACTGGCCTGTTCATTGCTAGCAGTAACTATTTGTTCTCCTCCCACAGTCTCAGGGAGCAGCTGGCTGATCTTTACCAGGCCATTCACTCCTCTGCAAACACGACACTGCTGCAACAGTATGAAGAAATCATCCACTCTCTGATCAGTCAAAGCCTGGACAACAGACTAGAGTGTGAACAGCTGGAGACCAGTATAAAGCGGTGAGGACAAGTGTCAGTGTTTTATTATGTGGGCTCAGCACACTTCAGAACATCTGACTAGTGACATGAAAAGAAGCAGAATAATAAAAAGATAATGGGCCATTATTTAAACAAGTCATGTTACATAGATGTTAATCATGAGGGACACTCTGCTTATATGGCTATAATGTGTGTATGGGCAGAGTCATTCACTACTCAGTGACTGTTTCAAAGTGAACTTGTTGTGTTGGCAAGTTAGTTTTTTAGCTTTGTAGAATTTATTAGATAATCATAATTGTCCTTACTGTGACTGAACTTTTTATCACAGAGCAGTGGTGAACTGCTCCCCTCTTGTGGCTGTATACCAGAGAGACGGTGGATATAAATTCCCCAGGCTCTGACTCCAGTGCATCAGCTCGGATAACCAGCTTGGTGTAAAGCTGCATTTATTGATTATAGCCTGCTAGACGAGAGGGCAGAAAAATATTTGAAAAAAAAGCAGACTAACTGTGCGTTCCAATACCCATTATATCATACTATATAGTATACCAGAGAAAGATTTAGTATGTCCCAATACATAGTATATCAAATGCAGTATGCCAAAAATACCAGGATGTTCTACTACATCCAATCTGATTTTGCAGTATGCAAGCCAGCATGCTTTTCTGGATATTCTGACCCACAATCCTCTGCACAGCAGATGATACGTCGCATCCACTGACCCGCAAACAGATGACAGCTGTCAGAAATTGCAATGACAGATGACTGTGAATTCAAGTAACTGATGACCAGTCGAATAGTAATAACAGGAATATTAATTTTTGAAGAGAACAAAATAATCCTTAATATTCCCAACAAAAGATACGAAAATAAAAATGACAGAGAACTGCAGATGTAATTTCGCTGTCGCAAATTTAGTATGTTAGAATCTACAATCTGTGCAGTTATAATTCTAAAGGTAAACTACATACATTACAAAGTAACAACAGCAGAGGTCTGCGGGTTGATCTCCATCGCTGGCAAACTAGGTAAGTGGCGTTCATTTAATGTCCAAGGTAACAGATACAAAAGCAAGAGGGTCAAAGTTCAGGGCTTAATGTTATGAGAAAGACGTATGTCCCAATTGTGTGCATACTGCATGCAATAGTATGTACTTTATAAAGGCAGCTGCAGCACATACTAGAATTAAAAAGAAAAAGGTTTTTGTTGGTTTGGATACTGTACAGTGTTTTCAAGATACATTGAATGTCTAAATCAGTACTTAATGAGTAGTACTGCATTCTTGAATATTATCCTGAGGTCACCCCAGTGTAGTTGGCATCAGAGAAAAGAAGAAGAAGCTTGACTACAATGCTACTTTAAGATTTTTCACAGTGATTACTGAAGCTGAACAATGATTGTAAATGGTGCAGGCTGTATTTTAAAGGCTTAAGGAAGATGCGAGTTAAGTCTTTGAATAATTTCATTTATATCTGTGAAGTGACCCATCACATAGCACCTTGCATCGACTATTGAATTTCACTCCTACACATGGGAGTGAACTCTGTCTGAGCTGTTTTTGTTGAAGCTCTGTCTGTGCTTCAGTAACTGCAAGGCATTAGAAAGGTGACATTCCTTCTTCAAGGAAGCAGGAAGACTTAAATGTGCTGCTCTGCCTGTTCTTTCAGTCCTTTTACAAACTGGATATACCCATTTTTGTGCTGACGTTTCTACTATGTTGAAATAAATATGTTTGAAATCTTGGCGTTAAACTTTTACCAAACTAAAAATAAATCATATGCGAGATCTCATTGAGAAATTTCACTGAAGCGCTCAGTGCACCTGTGGAGGCTGTCCCTCCCTCAACTCTGGTTGGTTCACGGTGTCTTATCTGATGAGAGCAGAGCAGTGACGCCACATCAGTCAGGTAGAATTGACAAAAGGATCATAGGTGAATGGATTCTTCTTATTATTCCTGCTGTATTAATCTTTTGGACAACTATTAGAGGATCTGCTTTGATTCAGCTGCAGTGAGGCTGCCAGTACAAACTTGACTGTACTTTTTTCTTCAAACAGAGCTGAGGAGATGAACAACAGTCAGCTGGCAGAACTGGAGGACGATATACAACAGCAGCTTGCCAGAACGGAGGAGAGGGTGAGAGACGAGGTAAGTGTGATACCTGCAGCATTTACAGTGGATGATTGCTCCTGTGATTTACTCCAGTATTTACAGAGGAATGTATCAAAACAGACAAATTTACGGTAATAAAAGCAGCTTCACTTAATCAATAAACAGTACACTGACAAACTGACGAGAGGAATGTATTTTATTTCATAGCAAAGTGGCAATTTCACTTCACAGCTCCTCCTGAGCTACCTGCATATTTGTGGTGCGGCACACAGCAGCAGGTTGCATGCCTCTTCACAAAGAGCCTCTGTTACGGCAGATGAAAGCCCCTCTTCAAGGCCCGAGTCGTTCAGCACCTCTAACTGCTTTGGTTTCATGTTTGTAGGAGCGCAGGAAGATGGAAGGAGTCATGACGACCATGCAGAGGAAGCACGAGAACGAGGTTGCAGACCTGCGTGCAGCTGTGGACAGACTGTTAAAGGTAGGTTATCACACACAACATGCTTTTTATTTGTTCTTCCAGGGTATACAGATTATATAAAGATGATGATAATGTTTTCTTACATTATGAAAAAGAGAGAGAAGAAAACCAGTGTAAATGAAAGACTCTGGCTTAATTTCTGCTGCACCAGACAAACAGAGGAAGCGTTTTCCAAATGTCTCACAGTTTATAGGTGACCTTTCAAAGGGCAACTTCAAAGACCCTTATAGACGTGATATCCAATGTCCAGACAGTATGAGAAAAGGAGTCAGATTTAGGAATCAGGGATGCTGCTTGGATGCAGTTTGTGTAAGGACAGGCACAGAGGATCATGTTTGATGCTCTATGTACAAACTATGGGAGCTAGACATGCTAGCCCCCATAGTTTGTGTTTATAATCCAGCTACATGCTATTTCTTGTCTTGCCTGCTTTTCTGCCACAGCACCAGTAATGTTACTTTTTAAAAAAAATTAAATAACCTGTCAAAGAGCAACAA